TAAATTTATATTTTCTGATTGACTTTGGGTATTCCCTGAATCACTTTACTCCTCTAAACTCAGGGCCTGACAAACAGTGCACCTGCTTAACTGGGCTAAGTGCCAAGGGAAAAAAAATCAGGGAAATTAATTTTCAAGAGCAGTAGATAAATGGCACACCTCATTAGAAAATCTATTTAAAAGGCGCATCAGGAGATGTCTGCAAGACTTTCATAAGAAATTGATGCTTCCTACCATCATGTCCTTGCTGGCTCTCTTCTCAGATTACTGATCTTACTTCCTGATAATAAGATTCAAATTCAGGTTACATTTAATGAGTGCCTCCTATGTGCCAAGCAGGTTTGTTTTGCATAGATTATCTTTATTAATTCCTATAAAATTGTTTTGAAATAAGTATATTTTGTGAAATGCCTGCAAAAGTTACCAAATCTATTTTCAGACCCCCTGGGACAGCCATACAATGATTTTTCCTTCTTATGGATGAGGGTGCTAAACAGTTATGACCCTTGTTCTTAACATAAGAAAAGCTACAAATTACTACAGTTTGTACCTGTACATTCTGACCTAGAGGAAAATCGTTAACACCCACTAATGCCTAAGTTTGTAGCCATTTCTTTAGAAATTCTATTTGTTTGCATTTATTGTTTGGAGAGATAGTTGCCTCTTTGTAAATAAGGCAAAGAAGTTTGTAGGGAATGTCAACCAAAGACCACGAATTCTGATCCTGAAAGAGTCATTAAATTGTCAGGGCACCCCTCTGCTTTCTGGAAGTATTTCCTGGCTGACTGCGGAAGCTTGGGGGCAAGGCCGCTAGCAGTCTTTGCGACCCCCTAAACTCAGTTACTAAGAAAGCAACAGTTCCTTCCCCTCGACCCCAGCTTGGATTTTCTGAAGACATTCATCTTCCAGGAGAAAACTAAGGCAAGGTGGATAATATCCGAGTAATCAGATGCCTTGGTTTGTGCCTGTTGTCCTGAGATAACTATTATTAGCTCTCCATTTCACTCTCACAAGTGTCCTGTTTTGGATGATAAATTATATAGTCACCCTATGGGGTGGCTCTGTGTGCTGTCAAATCGCTAAACTGGAACTACATTTCCCAGAATTCCCTTACATGTATGGTTCAGGTTAACAGTTGGGTACAAGAGAAACATGCACAAGCTTTGGAAGGCAAATAAAGAACATCCATTGTTTATTCTCTGAAAGTTGGTGAAGGGCAGGTGCTGTCACCTCTCAGGCACATTCTCACAGATAGGCTGGCTGACCTTGACCTGTGACAGCAGCTGACAGCATCTCTGCCAGTTCCCACTCTGTCTCCTCCTTCAGCATCTCCAAACCCTGGTCCCATGTGTTTGTGCTCCCGAGGTAGAAGGCACCCGCTTATCCTGCAAGCTCACCCACACCAATGTAATTTGAGGTGGTGAGAGTCAAATGAGGGTTCCAGTTTGTCCTCCATCACCTCTGTTCTGTTTCCATCTGCCCTTTTCAGTGATGCGGTTCAGGACATGCTACCTCAAAATATGGCACCTTGAATATTTTCAACTAAAGGAACTGGAGAAATAGCAGGTGCAAGAAGAACTTTCTGACCTTCCCTTGAAGCAGGTCAGGAGCCCTCCCTATGCCTGGAGGAAAGAAATGTTCTCATCTCCAAATGCCCAGAGGACTCTGAATGAACAGGATTTACTCTGTCCCCCAATTTACTACATTTAGCTCAGAACTTTTTTTTCATCCTGTCACATTTTTTCACCACTTCCCACTTTTCATAAAACCTAGCATTAAATAGTCAGGTTTAAGTGCTTCTTAAGGTCTTCATTTCCTTATGAGTGCTCCTGTGTCACATAAAACTTATACTAAATAAATCCAAATGCTTTTCTCACATTAATTTGTCTTTTGTTAGAGAGGCCCCAGCCAAGAATTTAGAAAGAAAGAGGAGAAAGATATTTTTTCTACTCTACACCAACTTCGACTGGGCTGACTGCTGACCCAGTGCCAGAGAAATGACAATAGCCTCACCTAGACTGCTTAATCAGCTCCCTTGGGCGGATAAGCCATATGAAATAAAGTCCCTGTCTTCCATCACTCATAGTCACTCTACTCTGATCAAACTCAGACAGATAGACCATAGTATTGTATGAATAGTGTTAAGACATTATACTTAGTAAGAAATTAAGGACAGGTGAAATAAAGGACAGATGAATACTAGAATTTCTTTCTTGAAAAAGTTCATATTTTTGAGCGAGATGGACAAGTAAACAGATACTTATAATATAATGTGTTAACTGCTGATAACACAAGTGCCCAGAAGGCACTAAGGGAATGAAGAATGGCACAGCGAATTTTTCTTAGGAAGTCTAGGCATGTTTCACAAAAAAAGGGATGAATTCACCCAAGAAAACTGAGGAATGCATCTCTTACTAGTGATATTAAAATTTATACAGTTCTGTTCTAAATACTTCAAATATATTCACTTACATAATTCTCTTAACAATCTTATTACAAAGGTAATATTATTATCCCCACTGTATAGATTATGAAACTGAAGCAAAGAGAGGCTGCGTGACTTTCCCGGTATCACAACAGCTAGAAAGTGGTAAGATCTGCATTTAATAGCATGGAAATCCAGCACCAGCGTTCATGTTCTTTACAGCTTTACTATACTTTATGCTATACTGGACGGAAGGGTGGGAGAAGGGCAGAATGAGCCGAGACAGGGAGGAATGAGAGTATATATTTTCCTAGGGAAAGAAAACAGGGAAGAGCAGGAGGGAGTGTGGCTGGAAAATGGGCTGCATGAGCTGAGTTCAAGATGAAAATAAAGAACAAAGCTGAGGATTTGAATTATGTGCCAAGGAATTTGTACTTGGCAAAAATAACCAATGAAATTTGTGTTTTTAAGAAGATACCCTGGGAGCACTGTTAAAGAGGAGAGACTGAATGAGAGAGACAAGAAGCAACTGCATTAGTCTCCTCAAAAGAGAATGAAGGTCTGAAGTGTAGTAATGGAGATCGTGGTAATAAAAGCAAATTTATGAGACATATTGTGGGTTGGCTGGCAGAGTATGGTAACTGATCAGGTGCCCAGCAGATTTAAAAGATGACTTGCAGGTTTCTCTTTGCAGGGAATGGATAGATGGTTAGGTCATTAATAAAAATAGAGAACTGGAGGAGAGGTCTTGACAAAGAAGATAGACTTGACAAGCACTTCTTGAAAGAAATGAAGTAGTAGTAACACAGAGGTTATGTTTTTCCCTATCAGACAAAATGCCAGTCATGTAAGCATTATCCATAGCACCTAATTCCAGTGGTCCAAGGTAGTTCTACTGTGGATTGTGTGTCTTACATTTAAGTAATCTAATCTGAAAGTCTAATTATAGGTAGCGGCTCATTTTATAAAATAATCAAGAACACATTCAACAGTAATTTCTGTAGTGCACTTATTAAATTATTAACTATACAAATATTAGATCTACTTGCAATTCTTAAAATATATTTACTGTAAATATCGAAGAAATATATTTTATGACCATATTTGGTTCTAAAATCTAAATGAATGAAATTCTAAAAAAGAAAAGAACAGATGAAATGTCAGAGTCAACACAGGCTCAAGGGAAATGAAATCCCCTAGAGTAATGCAATGAACTGCTTTTCACTTAAAGTTCGGGGTCATATTTTATATTATAGGCATTTCAATTGTGTATTAAGAGCCTGCATTACACAGTAAACCAAAACTGTTGCCTATTTAAAGCAGAGGTTTAAGGTTCTGGATAAATAGCCCTTTTGTTTTGAATGACATCATGGGACTTATCTCTACCTGTTAGATGATGCTCACTCCAGCCCAGCTAGCCAGCTAGCAACGGTACACAGGGCAGAGTCATCTCAATCGCATCTCCATGTCAATAAACCCAAATTATACAGTTTTATGACTTTGTGCTATTTATACTTGCATTTCTTTTAACACAGCCATTTCCTGGCACATGTAGTAGATACTTGATGAGTAATTGTTGAAGGAGTAAAATGGCATAATGAGAATAGAGGATCCTTCAGGATAGAGGATGCAACTCAGTATTTATCATTTCTGGGTCCTACTGATTCTGCTCCTACTGAAGAGAGAACAAGGGAATCGAGGGGTGGGTGTGCACTGCAACTATGGAGCACAGTAAGAGATTAATAAAATGTTTTTGCTTGTGATACAAAGTCATAAGGATAAACTCATTCGTCTATTAATTTAATAGTTATTGAGCACCTGACTGATTCTTTACTTCGAGGAACCCCCAGTCAGTAGAGCATGTCAGATGTGAAAATAGACAAATATAATTTTAAAAATACAAAAAGACCTTGAACAAAGAGATGAATGACATACTCAAAGATTAAATAGGCCATAATGAAAATCTAAATTTCCTCACTGATGTTACTCCTAATGGATTTTACTCAAAATCCATAAGAAAAACATGGCTACTTAAGATGTAGTATCTTATTACAATTCTTGGAAAATCTTTTTAACACCCCTTATTTTCAGGAATTCAAAATAGGATGTTTTAATGGAAGGGCAACAAGAATGGGAAGGAATTTTGGAGCCAGATGGTAGAGGGACTTAAAAATACTTTACACAACTTTCCATTTGTCCAGGAGTATTTTACTTGGTTTGGTTTGGTTTGATTTTATACTGCCAAATGTAAAACCTACAAATTATTCTTTATTAATGGTTGATAAAGTCCCTATTCCCAAACCAAGTATCCACCAAGCTTTGGAATCATTATCTTCATGAAACTATAACATTCAGCTTTTGTTCGTCTCTTCAAATAAGGAAATCGGTTGCAATTGAAGTCAACAAGGATGACAAGCAAAGAAGGGTGGGAAAGATGAAGGTGGAAGCTGGACTTCAGTAGTGACCCTCAAGCATGTTTGCAGGATGCTTTGCTTATTTGCAGGGCGAGAAACAAAGCCAGAACCAAGGGGAATATTGTTTCTTTTCATTTAAAATCAAATATCATGGATCTTACCTGACAAGTTTTTGTAATCCACTAAGTCAAACATAACAACAGCCACAGCCGACCATGTGATGATCAGAGCAATGACCAGAAGCCAGGCTGCTGGGGAGCTGAATGTCGTCACTATGTCTTCAGTGACTGTCCTCTTCAGCACTTTTCCAGGGGATTTGGGCACAGATCCATTTTTGCTGTCTATCACAGTTGTGGTAGTAGATGCATTTCCTAATCAAACATGGAGAAAGGAGAATTACAATTTAGAATTTCACATCAAACATTGATGACAAAAAAAGAAAAACACAAAACCCAGACTATATAAGTGTACGTAGCTTGTTGACAGCATTTTCTATAGCAGAATACACCTCTTCAGTGGCATATACCTCCCCACCCACTACCACATTTTCACTTCCTCAGTGTTTACCCTCCATCCTGATACCCACAGACCCTCGTAATCAGCATTCTTCCTCTCCCAAGTTCCATAAATACTGCCATCCAGGCCACAAACTTTGTCATCCCCTTCAATCATTTTTACATCTTCCTTACCACCTTCTATATCCACTACCATCAAGGGCAATGGCTTCTTTGGTCAAGTTGCTTTTTAGCACCTCTTTCTTTTATTTAGGCTCTTACGTCAGTTCTAAATGGAAGCAAAAATATCTCCTCTGGGAGAGAAACAAAATCAGTGATAAAATAGTTCAAATGGATGAAATTCCTCTTGGATATCCTAGTTTAACAGCATAGTTGACCCTCTGTTGAGGCCATTCATTTTTATTTGTAAAAGGGGCCCAGAAGATCAAAGAGATTAATGTTGGAAAAATCTCATTATACCCAGAAACTTTTTTATTTCTGCTTTCAAAAGTCTGTATATTCATGAGTGAAAACTCAAAAAAATATTTTAAATGAGCAAAATAAATAGATAATTGTTTGTTTTTCTTAATTGAACTACAGTTGATTTACAATACATACTTATTTGTAATCTCACCACCCCAAAACAACTGTGGACATATTGTTATATTTATACCTACTTTTCTGGACATGCAATATAAATATATAAATATGTTTTATTTGTTTCTGACAAGTCATGATCACATTGTCCGTTCTGTCTTTTTACTAGGCAATATATAATAAACTTTTTTTTGCCATACGTATTCCATAAAATACCACTTAAGTGGCTGCATGACAAGTCATTCCGTGGCTATGCATAATTTAGGCAAACAGCTTTCTACCCTGGGACATGGCAGAAGGTTTCTCAGCACACATTAATGATTTTTTCCATTAGGAGAATTTCCTAAATATAGAATTTCTGGGACAAATAATATAATCAGTTCTGGATCTTTTGAGAATATATGTATATATTTGTCCGCATGTTTCTTTTGGAGGGTATGTAATTAGGTTTATTTATTTAATTGATTAATTAATTTTTTTAATGGAGCTACTGGGGATTGAACCCAGGACCTCGTGCACGATAAGCATGTGCTCTACCACTAAGCTATATCCTCCCTCTCCATGTATTTGTTTGAAAATTAGTCTATTTTTAAAAATTGTCTATGCCAGCATTCTCTTTCCTTATCCTTGACAATCCTGGGTATTGCCAGTGTTCAAAATATGTGCGGTCACATAGGAGGAAAATTCTACTTCATTTGCAATTCTTTGATTACCAGAGATCAGCTTTTTTGTGTTCATTTTTCATGTATATTTCTTATCCTGTGAAATTTTTCATTCATTTTTCTGTAAACCTCTTTTTCGTGGTTCATAAAATTGTGTACACATATGCATATATGCATAATCTATATGTATGTATCTTATATATGTATATGTGTATGTACATATATACATGAGTTTACATGTGTATATACTCACATATATGCATGCATGTTTATGAATAAGCACACACATACAGAATAGCACCACTTTATCTGACCTTATGCTGCAATATTTTCCTTTAACTGTGTATTTTTTCTTGTTATGGTATTTTTATGTACAAAGTGAACTTTTAAAATGTTTGTAGCTCTTTCATTTTTCTCCTGTAAAGTTGCTGCCTTTGTATGGCTAGAAAGCACCCCTCAGTGGAGAGCAGGCATATATGATTATATCGACAACCCTTGGCCCATAGAAAGTTCTCTCTAGAGGAAACTCAGAGGTCATCTGAAGCAAATACATCATGTTACAATTAAGAACAACTGAAGACCAACCAGAAATTATACAGATGTGTAGCAAATAACTGAATACTAAAGAGAAAAAAATATCCCTAACAATTCAAATATTTTTGCCAAAATCATGGCTTAACAACATATTTCATGTTTTTTAAATATGAGCTACATTGTCTATAATAATTAAAGAATCATATATCAAGATAGAAATTTTTGATTAATCACATTCTAACATACATATGTAAATATTTTCAATTTTACTATCTACTTCTAAATTATATTTCCAAATTAAAAAAAAAGACTCCAAATTTTCAAACTTCTTTTGACACTTTTTACAAAAAAATTTCACATAAATGAAAAGGCTAATTGTAGTTATTCTTAGAATAATCCTCATAATAGTCATCATAACCATCAACATTACTTTTACCCCACTTCCACAGCTGGGACTACAACCCTATCATCATTATAAGGAAAGGCTTAGAAACAAAGTTTGAGGGAGTGACTTCTCAATAAATGCAGGCATTTGTTTCCACTTAATAAGCATATACATTAGGCTAAGACATTTGCAGGGAACCAAAAAAGGATGCTGTGACTCCCTCAATGTCTTTCCTAGTCAATTAACTTATTTCTTGTAATACAGGAAAAGAGGGACATACTGTAGTTTACTCATATTAATGGAGGCTGGTTTGCCCCATTAACAAAATTGAGAGATGATCTGTAACAAATAAACTTATTTTGTTGTAGTACAAGTGTTATCAGTGTAACTGAATTTTGTAACATAGAAAAATAAAGGTTGAACCTTCAAACAGATGTATACACAGGGTACTTAGTGTAGAAACCCAGTTTATAAGTCAATTTTGAGTTGTTGGCAGAAGGAATAAAAATAATACATGCAAAATTAAGTACTCTAGTTAATAAAGTTTCACTCTTTTTGTTTCTTTTCCCATAAAATGGTATTTTCCTCCTCTGTTAAAAATAAAATAAATAACATAAAATAAATAGACTGATTAGGGAAAATAAAATCAAATTCATTCACATGTATATATTAGTAAGTACTAATAATAACCAAACACCCTAGTACAACTGTGTTTTAGACGACAATGGCAAAAATCTCGGCACATACTTTTAAGAGTAAAAAACTGACGAGGAACATCACAGGTAAAATTATTTAATTAAGATTTTAAAACAACTTTAGCTAGAATTTGACAATGAATCTCTTTTCTTTTCTGAAAAACTATGTGCATACATATCCCAAGTTCATGAACTCAATTTAGTTAAATTGATACCAAGACGGAAAAATTCCTTTAAAAAACATTTCACAGATTGTACTTGAGATAGTGCTCAAAGAAGGAAAAATTAGAAAGAACTCATGTTGTATCCTCTCGTTGATTCTGGTGCCAAATTCCCATCACTTCTAATGGCAGTTTTGAACATGGATGAGAGATAGGAATGCTTTGAAATGCGATTTAAGACCCAAGTGGGGCTACAAGTGAATCAAATCTTTGGAATTATGATTTGCAGGAGAGTCAGTGAATTGTAAGTGTTTAGGAGAGGCCCAAGTGAAAGCTGATACATTGCTAATCTCCAGTTCTTAACCTCTGGAAGGCTTCCTATACGGCTCTATAGAGAACTCGGGAAAAATTGCTTTTGCTCTTCAGATTCACTTCGGTGAACTGTGTGTTAGAGAGCATCTCTGCAGACAGTATCATACACACCTGCTTGGTATCTTGAAACTGAATGAATAAACTTACTGAGATTTGATACAAAATGAATTGAATCATAGTCACATTTTTAAAAAATAGAAAAGATTTAAAGGCACAAGAATGTCATTTTTTTCCTTTTTATCAGAAAAATAAGACACTATATAGATTCAGAAAGTTACACAAGTTCAGAATTACAATATGCCTCAGTTTTTTAAAGAACTGATATGAATATAAATTCCAAAATTTATTTCACCTTACAGTCCTGCCAGAACAATTATGGTACAATAGTTTAAATAGATGAAAATGATAAAGTTAAAACTGAATGATTTAAAAAATTGTTTCTATCTTTTCATCTTCACATCCTTCAAAGTCACTCTTAAGAATTAATCAAGACTCAAAGATGATGAAAATATATTCTGAGTATCTAACTGCAAAAACATAAGCAATTTGAAAGTAATCTGAAGGTTATCCTGCTTAAGGAAAATGATGTGTTGCCTTTGTTATGGAAACACACTAAGTTGTACATTTCAAATTCCAGTGAAATTTACTTGCAGAAGCCACACACAGCCAAGAGGAATAAAATTGAGGGAAAATACATTGCGTTCTGTGATAGCTGGTTAAGATAAATGCAAAGAACAGAGTGTGTAATCTGAGATTATTTAATGTTTGAGAAGCACTTTGAAGATGACAAGAGCTAGTTATTGATATGGCGGAAAAAATGAGAGGTAAATATTACTGAGCAATTTGACATGGGTGATGCTTCTTGAAAGTTGGCATCTCAGAATTGGAGCAGAGCAGCAAGGATATGTGACAGTATTTTCCATGCCTACCTTTTAATTCCTTTCCTTTTGATTTCACACAAATTATTTTCATTGCCAGATAGCCAGAATCAGCTTCAAAAGAAGTGGAATCTGGCTGAAAGGCCAAGTGACTGGCTTATAAAGTAAAATTAGAGGCTGCTCATGCAGTGGTTCTAAAGACTAGCTTCCCATCAGGTTATGCATCAAAAAATAAATCATAAGCTTCCTGAAAGAATTCACTTAACCTCATCATGCCTTACTAATCAGATGAGGAAACTGCCAGATACACTTGCCCAATATTATCCCAGTTGGACACTAGCAACACAATTTCTTCCAGGATGCTCAAGGACGACAACTACATTCTTGAATGGTATAAGTAAACTACTGCATCCTCATCACATAAAAGCATAAGTTAAGAATCTTGCATTTTACTATGTGATATGATTTGTGGAGTATTCTAACACTAAATTTTTTCTTCAAGAATTAGAAAGCAAAGGAGAGAGGAGTATATAATATCAATGACATTATCAAAATGTATGTTATTCCAAAATCATATTAAGAATGTAATTCCT